TCATTTGAAAGTCAGCGTTAGGCGAAAATGGAGGAAGAAGGCCGTGGGTGATAACGCCCCAACACACCATTTTGACCATCCTGTCCTATGTTCTATCGCCAAGCAGCTCTTCATTTTTGTCAGACATAACGGCTCAGTGCACACAGTGGTCAGATGATAGGGTTTGTTTGTTTGTTACTACTGTTATCAAGATGAAACCCTAGACAATTAGTCAATAAATGCAGAGTAGGTGTGTGGCAGAGATAAGGAACACCTTTTGTGGGGGTTGATTCCTTCATCCTTGAGAACATCTACTAACGTTAAACCTTCCAACTCCTGGCCCACAGAGAGCACTTTTATTTTCTTTACATCTTTGAAGTGGCTCTACGCCTTAAACAGTCCTTGACTACTTGTGGATAAGTCAATGGTTCGAATATTAGTTCTGCAAGGAGGTCTAAATTAAGCACTGAAAAGTAGTCATTCAAAATAGGCAAGGAAATACACATTCTTCCTGAAAAAGTTGGAGACATGTGATTTTTCAATTCACATTTTTATCCCTGGAAGAATGGATTATAAACGGGTTTTCTCCCTTGAGAATGGACCCCCACCCAGGTCCAGAGGAGGAAGGCATCAATCGCTGCTGGCCTGTTTGAGTCCCTGATTAGACTACTGGGTGAATGTGAAGATCAGACACTTAGACATTTGAATAACCAAGGCTCATGGAAACAAGGTTGATAACATAAACTAAGTGATCTTTTGTGTAGTCACCATATTGTTCCATAGACGATTTCTCTTCTAAATAATATATTATGAAGAGTTCTTATTACTCACCTTCTACATAGAATTTTAGTCCTAAGCCCAGTTTTTAAATAATGAGTACATGGTAATTTATTCAAACAACTGTTGTACATTATACTGTTAAATGTTTATTTTTTTCCATTCTTTAAACGATGTTGCAGTGCACACATGAGTACCCTGACTCAGTTTGTCCCTTGGAAAAATATATCTGGACATACAATGACACATGCAGGCAAAAAAAGAGCATTGCCTTCTAATTTAAGAATTTACTAATTTAAGTAATTTAGCAACTAGTAGTTTGAGAATTAGTAATTCATTCTTTAATTACTGTTAAGTGACATCGAGTCAGTTCTGACTCAGTGAACCTGGGCCCCACAGAATGAAATTCTGCCTGATGTTGCACCATGCTCACAGTCAGGACTACGCCTCTCAGTCCACTGTTGCAGCCACTGTGTCCACCCGGCTCCTTGAAGGTCTTCTTTTTCACTACTCACTGCTTTAGCAAGCATACTATTCCTGTCCAGCGGCTGATTCCGCCTTCTAACATGTCCAGAGTGTACGAGACAGTCTCATCTACCTCACTTCTAAGGAACAGTCTGGCTGCACATTTCCCCAGACAGATTTGTTCATTCCTTTTTTTTCTTTTTTAATTGGGAACTCATATAACTCTTACCACAATCCATCCATTCATCCATTGTGTCAAGCACATTTGTACATTTATTGCCATAATTTTCAAAACATTTTCTTCATACTTGAGCCCTTGGTATCAGCTCATTTTTTCCTCTTCCACCCGCACCCTCCCTCCCTTACGATCCATTGTTAATTTATTATTATTTTTTCATGTCTTATACTGTCCGATGTCTCCCTTCACCCACTTTTCTGTTGTCCGTCCCCCAGGGGGGGTTATATGTAGATCATTGTGATGGGATCCCCCTTTCTACCCCACGTTCCCTTTACCCTCCTGGTATTGCTAATCTTGTTATTGGTCCTGAGGGGTTTATCTGTCCTGGATTCCCTGTGTTTCGAGCTCTTATCAGTACCAGTGTACATCCTCTGGTCTAGCCAGATTTGTAAGGTAGAATTGGGATCCTGATAGTGTGGGGGAGGAAGCATTAAAGAACTAGAGGAGAGTTGTATGTTTTGTCAGTGCTATATTGTACCCTGACTGACTCATCTCTTCCTTGTGACCCTTCTGTAAGGGGATGTCCAATTGTCTACAGATGGGCATTGGGTCTCCACTCTGCAATCCCCCTCATTCACATTGATATGATTTTTTGTTTTGGGTCTTCGATACCTGATACCTGATCCCATCGATACCTCATGATCACACAGGCTGGTCTGCTTCTTCTATGTGGACTTTGTTGCTTCTCAGCTGGGTGGCTGCTTGTATCTTCAAGCCTTTAAGACCCCAGATGTTATATCTTGTGATAGCCAGGCACCATCAGCTTTCTTCACCACATTTGCTTATACACCAACTTTGTCTTCAGCAATCATGTCGGGAAGGTGACCATCATGGAATGACAGGTTAAGAGAACAAAGTGTTCTTGCATTGAGGGAGTACTTGAGTAGAGTCCCAATGTCGATCTGCTACCTTAATACTAAACCTATAAGTATATGCACATAGGTCTATTTCCCCATCGTCATACATAAATATATTTACATATGTACATGCCTGTATTTAGATCTCTATAAATGTCCTTTGCCTTCTAATTCTTTCCTTTATTTCCTTTTACTTTCCTCTTGCCACACTATCATGTTCAGCCGTCATTTGGGTTTCAGTAATTCCTTTCGGTTGCATTGCCCTTGATCATGCCTTACCAGGCTTTCTATACCCTGCTTGCCTTTGATTTTGCATCACTTGTTGTTCCCTTGTCCCTGGGTTGGTTTCGTTCGTTCTTTTCCAAGGGCATCAGTTCTTCTTTAGTCTTCCTTATCTAGTGTGCATCTTTCACATTCATAGAAAGCAGGTGAAAATGCCATGGCTTACATCAGGTGCACTTCCAGACTTCTTTGCTTTTAACACTTTCATGAGTTCTTTACCTCTAGCTTTGTTTAATACCAAGTTCCTTCATCATATGCTACTTCCTGAAATAGTTTAACATGGGCACATTCTTTTGGTAGAGTTACTCTCTGTATTCTGTCTTGTCTTAATGCTTCCTGTATCATTCAGTCTTTTGGTTTAGTGGTTGGTGCATAAATTTGAACAACACTGGCACTAACTGGTCTTCCTGGTAGGTGTGTGTGTATCATTTGTCTCTGACAATGTTATACTTCACCTTAAGAAATGCCAAGTGTGCTCTAGTTGGTTTTCTAACTCCAGTTCTTTGCACATTTCTTGATAACACTTCAATATGTCTTCTTGAGCTACCCTCTGAAACCTCCATTCAGCCAATTTACTTCATTTCTTCCATTCACTTTATATTGAAGAGGAGGTTTCAAAGTCTCTTCTGACATCTTTTGGGTTTTTCTTTCTTTCCTATCTTTTAATGATCTTTGCTTTCCTCATGTATGATGACCCAAAACTTGTGAAGTCTTCAATCATTTGTGTGCAATTAATCTAATGTTCTCTAAATTCAGGAGGGTTATGCTCTAGGTCATTCTATGACTCTTACGGAATTGCTTTAACTTCAATTTCAACTTGAACTTGCATTTGATCAGTTGATGATCTGATCTTTAGATGGCTCCTGCCCTCATTATGGCTGATGATAGTGAACTTCTCCTGTGGTCTCTTTTCTTCCTACATAGCCCATCAGGTGAGGCCTTTGGATGTAGACCATTTGATTCCTGTGTAGCCCACCAGGTGAGGTCTACGGATATAGTTTACTTTGTTTAACAAAAAAAAAAAGCTATTTCTAGTGATAGGTCATTGGTCTTATTAGATTCTATCATATGATTTACAGTGTTATTTCTATCACCAAGGTCATACTTTTCAACCACTATTCCTCTTTTTTAATCTTACATATTCCAATCACTAGCAATTACAATGTCTCCTCACTGTGTGTTTGATGAATTTTAGGATTGCAGAATTTTGCAAAAATCTTTTAACATTTTCATCTATAGGTTTAGTGGTTGGTGCATAAATTTGAACAACACTGGGACTAACTGGTCTTCCTGGTAGGTGTGTGTGTATCATTTGACTCTGACAATGTTATACTTAAAGAAAGATTGTTTGTTTGTTTGTCGTTGACTGTGACACCATTTCTCTTCAGTTTGTAATTCTCCATGTGGTAAGCCATCTAATTATCGCCTTCAAAATGGCAAATGCCAGTTCATTTCCGCTTACTAATGCCTACGGTGTTGATCCTTACATGTTACATTTCATGTTTTACCACTTTAAATTTTCCTAGATTCATACGTTGTAATTCTACATTCTGATTGTCAATGGGTGTTTGTAGCCATTTCTTCTTCTCCTGTAAAAAGTTAGTCTCAGACACCTGTGCGGCAGTCCATCACCCTGTTCCGTGCTCTGGCTCCTAATTCTGCTGCTGCGCCTCTGGTGATGTAACTATCATCTGGGTCCTGGAGGTTCACTGCTCTTACTGGTAATGAGATCCCTCTCCTGCTTCACAGAGAGCTCGTTTTATACACTGCGGGATGGCACTCCAGGGAGCCTGATCTCAGTTATTCACAGGTGAATCCTATCAGAATCTGCCTCCACCATCTTTAACTAGACTCATGCAGGGAAAGGTTGTTGGCTTGGATTTAGAGAACATAGCAATAAGAGCCACATTAAAGAATTAACTGCCCTTGCAATAATATTTAAAGTTGGCCACTTATATTTCTAATGTTTATGAGACTGAAATATTACATGAACTCCAAACCTCAATTACAATGCCCTTGAAGTGAAGTTAACAGAAATTACTGCCATCGCGTAAACTGTGATGCATAGCGATCCAATAGGCTAAGGTAGGACTACCCCTGCGGTTCTCCGAGGCTGTTAGCCTTTTATGGAAGTGGGAAGCCTCCTCTTTCTCTTGAAGAGCAGTTGGTGGTTTTGAACTAATGAACTTGTGGTTAGCAGCCCAATGTGTACGGGCACCTTGTGATAGTATTATCTCTGTATTTTGCCAATCGTGTTGCTTCATTAATATCCAGTATATAAAAGGTGTTTGCCTGTTAGCCGTGTCTAACCACTTGTTAAATGCTATAAAGCCATAGCCTGATGATTTGATTATAGTGTTTGTTTAGTGATTTGAGCTCAATCTGAAATCGTTATTTTCTAGTTGCCCAGCAAGAGGCAGAAATGTTCAAGCGCTACAATGGAACACTTCCATTACCTGGAATACACCAAAGTCAAGATGCGCTATGCACCTGCCCGAAGCTGCCTCATCAAGGCTCTTTCCAGATTGATGACTTTTCCCACACTGCAAACTCCTCATTGAAGATGCAGCAAGTGAAACAGAGGCTGGATTCTGTCACGGTGTGTTCAATTAGTGTATACATTTGAGAAGTTAGAAATCATTTCTAACCTGTTTTACTTGGCCATGTCAATGAATGCTAATTTAATGAAGTTGATTACCTAAAAGTAGGCTTTCCCATACATTGATAGTGCCCTGGTGGTGTAGTGGTGCCAAGTTTGATTGCGATCCACATGGTGAGCATTTTGAAACCACCAGCAGGGCTTTCTGCTCCCGTAAACAGCTGTGGTCTTAGAAACCTGCAGGGGGTCGTCATAAGTAAGCATTGATTCCACGACAGTGAGTTTGATTTGGTTTGGTTTCTGAAGTACCTGTTCTAAAGGCACTAATTGCAGCAAACAAATCCATCATCCTTTTTTCCCAGTTCGCTCTGTAAAGGCCAGCCCAGGATCTAGAAACGAGGGAGAGCTGAGAGCCAGAAAAGCATAGTTAGGATTTACCACACCACGTGCTTATCATCCCCAGATAAATCAGGAGTCACCCTGCCTTTTCCTGCCCCGCCCCACTAGGAAGATATCTAGCAGGTTTAGGCGCACCGCTTCTGCATTCCCAGGGCCATGAAGAAAGACCACTACTGAGAAGACAGATAACGTTTCAGTATGCAATTTCTGCCCTGGCATTCAGACTTCTATATAATCTCACTTAAAACCACATACTCAAAACTTCAGCGTGCGTCTGAATCACCTGCTAGACTTTCTGAAACACATCGATACGCTCTGTCCCCCAGGGTTACTGAATGTGTGGGTAGTTAACAGGTGTGGGTAGTATGAGATTTTGGATTCCAGACAAGCCCACAATGCTGCTGCTGCTGGCTGCTCATAGGGCCACCCTTTGAGAACAGTAGATATCTACTAGTTCACCATTCCAGCACTTAGGAAGGACTTGATAAGCATAGGTTGAGTGCCCTCAGCTAAGCTCCTCGAGGGTGGTTCCAGGATTGCCCTTTTCCTAACAGCCCCTAGTCTGCAGGGATGGTTTTCACGGAGTGTAATTAGATTTTGGTATACCTCTGAAACATCCATGTTTAGGTATCAAAGCCTGCTTTCCGTGGCTATCCTGCCCTCTTCATTTCAGGGAGGTCGGTCTGTTCTGCCTGCTGGCACCCACTCCTTTGGATTCTCCCTCTTGGAAGCCATAGCCACTGTTTTTCCTGTTTGTTTTATGAAAGAGCATTCTATACAGAGTAATCGTACATTTAGAAAACATCCCAGCCCAGTCCAAATCAAGTCCCATCAGTCCGATATTAGCCCATATGTCCGATACCAGTCTATAAAGTCCTCTTCAAACTCACAAAACACATGCAGTGATGCCGAATGCAGGAAGACCATAGGCCAGTGGGTGGGAAGTCTTGTGGATCCAGTGGTGGTGTAAGTGTCTCAGCGCTGTCGGGGGTCTCCGCATGGCTTCTCCGGTTCCAGGGCTCTAGCATAGCTCCGTGTGCCTTGGTGCAGGAATGTCTTGCAGAGAGTGAGCCATTTTTCCTGTTCTTAACCGGCCTTGTTGGTGTCCTGCTCCATAACTGATGCTATCTTTCCTGCCCTTGTGCATCTGAGAACTGTGAACCTGCCAGTGACTACAGCTTTAGGCAAGAATACTGCCCCTCCCCACCCCATCAGTCATGCATACCTACCTTAGCCTCGTGGAATCAATTCCAGCCACTTGATCTATAAAACTTTGTTATCTCAAATACTTTATTGAAAGTTTTAAGGCACTCCAAAGGATACTAAAATGTTTATACCTTGACCTTAAGTAGCATAGAGTTTTAGTAAGATCAAAAAACAAAACTGACTGCCATCAATTTCCTGGTGAATCAGTTCCTGCGTACCAGGAAAAGTCTGCTGACTGCCACCTGCAGCAGAGTTGTTCACAGCGCACTCCACATGCACTCCCCACACTTGCGTTGCCTCTGCCTAGTAGCATGGCGACAGTTGGTGCCTGAGTGTTACACAGGGTGCTTTTCTGCTCCAAAAGGAGAGCCAGAGTGCTTCGGGCCTCATTTGAAAAGGCATATGCAAAATCTTCTGTGTTCTCTTTCAAACCGCCAAATCTAAAATAACTACACATTTATTTACGTAAACATATGTAAGTTTGTCAAAAGTGCAATACCTAATTTTTTTAGTGTCTTGTGAATTTCCCATGTGTAATTTTTACCATGCTGAGTTCCTGCTCGTACAGAATTCTATGTCAGAACTTCATATGTAAATAAGAGAAAGAAACTTAAAAGTTATTAAAGATCGAGTTGAAGCAAGAGAAAGTAGTGTTGAGCACATTCTGGAGCATTCCGTGAACAAGAATGGTTAGCAGTACAGATTTTCTTTGGAGTAAATTCCCTTAAAAAACAAAAAACTAGACAGAGGACCAGAAATTACACTTCAGCAAAACCACATCATATGAATGCTCAAACATACCAGAAATCAATTTGGCAGCTGCAATTACTGACTGTGCAGCCTCAGTACAAAGGGGTAAATTTATCAGTGCCCACAGAAAGTGATAAATTTCATTTTAGGGGGAACAGAGAAGATTATATGCATTAAAGTAAAGAAGTTAAAAAAAAAAAAGGAACCAAACTCATTGCCAATGAGTCAATACAACGTATTAGCTACGCTATATAGCAGCAGTTCTCAACCTGTGGGTTGCGACCCCTTGGCGGGTTGAACAACCCTTTCACAGGGGTCTCCTGATTCATAAGAGTAACAAAATTACAATTATGAAGTAGCAACAAAGATAATTTTATGGTTGGGGGGGTCACCACCACATGAGGAACTGTATTAAAAGGTCACAGCATGAGGATGGTTGAGAACCACTGTCCTATAGAGGGTTTCCAAGACT